TTAGGGACTGACACTTCCTACGGTCTCTTACCATCAAGGACTAGCCTTGGTGTCAAAGAATCAGGGTCACTTTCAGGTCACCCTCAGGACATACTCTTCCCTCATTAGTTGAGGAACCTCATCAACAGGCTCTCACCCACCCCGCCTCCCTCTGGGAAATCCTCTCTGGACCATGCTTTTGCTCCCTTGCTTCTGATGCCTGGATTGGTCCTGTGGGGAGGCTTGAAGGTCACAGTATCTGGCACTTGGGATGTAGGGGGGAAGCGGCCAGTCAGAGTTGTCAGGGCCTCCCCATGACTGGCGTGGTCTCCCCGCTACAGCCATCCTGAGCGAGCTCCTGCAGAGGGAGAACCGTGTCCTGCACTTCTGGACCTTGAAGAAGCGGCGGTTAGACCAGTGCCAGCAGTACGTGGTGTTTGAGCGCAGTGCCAAGCAGGTATGTGCAGACTGTTCCCCACTTTACCTCAGCTCCAGGCACTACACAGAGGCCAAGACAACTAGCTCCTGGGATGCCCAGGAAAGGGCAGTGGGAGGCGGGGATGAGAAGAGGAAAGGGAAAGGCTGAGTTTGGTACCAGGAGTGGGGAGGAGGTTCTGGAGGAAGATCACCCCTAATTCACGATGATACTGGGTCAGTCTAATGGACAAGGGACTCTCTTTGTCAGGGGGATGTTCCAAGTCTACCAGGGGAGGGCTCATTTATAAATCAGCTTTCAGGCTGTGTACTGCTTGAATCATGTCGGAATTTCCTGGGTCCATCACGCTGTCCCAGACCACAGCCTTCACGGTAGCATGGCATGCTTTCCTACTGACCCCTGGCTTTTGGGGGACTGGATGGGTTGTTTCCTCCCACAGGCGCTGGACTGGATCCAAGAAACAGGTGAATTTTACCTCTCAACGCATACCTCCACCGGAGAGACCCCAGAGGAGACTCAGGAACTGCTGAAGGAATATGGGGAATTCAGGGGGCCTGCCAAGGTAGGAAGCACCCTGGGCCTTCCCCAAATCTACCCAGCACTTCCCAGTCTGGCCAATTTCACGTGCACAAAATGCTTCGCCACAGTGGCAAGGGGGGGGGGGGGGGGGGG